TGTTAATTGTAAGCGCAAATTGATCAAGGAATTAAATGAGACTACTGAACCTCAGCCAACACTGGCCAACACCAACAAAATAGTGTAAAGAAAACGGGAAAAAAATCATAAGTAGGTTATTTTCTGGGTATTACCAATAAGGACCTCAACTCAGCAAAATATACGAAGTAAAAACGTAATGGAGTAGATGTTCTTAATAGATACTAATCAGATTTAAATATGCAGCATGATTACTCAATTTGAAAAGTGCTATCATTTTAGGCAAATTAAATGATAAACGTTTGTGTTTCAGAAGGCTGTTTCCATCGCTGACTCTTTTTCCAAGCGGACGTCCATGACAAAAGCAAGATGAATCCAGAAGGACGCCGACAACTAATTTTTCTGTAATAGGAATTAAAGTTCGTTTAGCAGTACCACTATTTATTGTCTCCTGCTGCCAAAGCAATGAACAACATGCAGCACGAGTCATATTCCAACGAGACGGAAAATTCCACAAGGCTAACAAGTCTATTTAAAGAGACAAAAAAAGTTGAGGTTGCAGTACTGTTCTCTCTTGCGATGGCCATCGTTGTAATCAACAGCTCAGTGTTTTATCTCTTCTTTAGGAGGAAAACTCTGCGAACCACTTCAAATTATCCACTCTTCAGCTTGGCTGTTTGCGACTTCTTCTGTGGTTTTATAATCATTCCACTTTTCGCATTCCTAGTTTTCACGCCGTTGATACAACCCAGTGGATCGATTAGGTTTTATCTTGGATTTGTTTTGACTGTCCTTCATAACTTTGTGGCCATTGCTACTGTATATCATATCGTTGTTGTGACAGGAGAGCGTTATTTGGCAATCAAGGCTCCATTTAAACATCGAGTACTTCACAAGAAAAGCATTTTGACAGTTTTAATAATTGTTTGGCTTTCCTCGCTTGTTGTATCTTTTCTCCCTTTCACATGGATCAGTAAAATACATCCAGTACTTAAACCAGAATCCTCAAGATACGCACTCTCGTTTTCGATATTCTGTATTGTGTTTGCTTTAATTTTACCTTACATCTTCTTGGTCTATGCATTCATTGATATGTTCAAAGGTATCAATAGAAGATCGAAGAGTCTACATCGGAAAAAGGGTGGCGGGGTGCTTATAATTCGACGTTCAACAAGCTCACGTAACCGGTCAAGTTCTGAAGGCAAGTCTTTGGCACTCTTCGCCATGATGGCGTCTGTATACCTGATATGTTGGTTCCCCTGGTTTGTCTTGTTTTTATTGCACCAGCTTTCGGCCATTGACTCTTCTAAATTGGTTGTACCTTCTCAAGTGTCACTGATCATCAGATATGCGACATCTGTAGCCAATCCATTACTCTACACCTTCATGAAAAGGGACTTCTTTCAGGCTTTTAAGTTTGAATTCAGCAGACACCGAGGGTCAATTCCTCTTACCGATTTACGCGGTCAGCAAACGTCGAGGGAAGTTGGTAGCTCTATCACAGAATGTCGGGAGCATCTTTACGAGAGTGCGTGTTGAATATCTATGAAAGTCTATATCAAGGATCCCTTGAAGTTCCTGGAAATCGTCGTTTCACGGGGAATCAGTAAAGTTTTGTTTTTGACCGGTAATTTGAACAGTTATTTAATTTGGCAACGGTGGATGGCGAAGAAAACTGTATTCATTTCATACAACGCTAAGTGGTATTTCAATTGTTACTTTCATTCCGATCTGCTGGAACTACTGCTACCGTCTTGTAATGTTATGACTGCATCTCGTCGTAAATAAGGCATCAGAAAAAATGCTTCGAGGTCGAGCAGATTTAAAGCGAGAAAGCTTAAAAGATAACGAAAGATCCTAAGGAAACAAAGACACCAGCAATTACCTCAGGGATATAACTATTGACATACTTGCTTATGATTACATATCTAATCTTCAAGAGTTGGATCGTGGGATTCGCCTTACTACGTTCTCTTCATTTTCACAACTGATAATTCACGCTTTGCCTACTTACCTAAAACAGTGGGAAAACTGAAAAATAATTAGCGAAGGACTGATATGATAGAAACACGACGATATCAAACAGCGATTCAGTCATCATCTGATGAAGATTTTCTGCAGCAGACTGCCGTGGATCAAGAATCGGTTTTATCGTCGATTCGCCATCTCAAATTGGAGAAACTATGTTAATATGATGATTAGTGGTAAATGGGAGATTAAGATTTTTCAATCTGAATAAAATTGCATATCATGGGTGTTCGCTTGAAAATTATTCGCCACGACTGAGACGCAAATACAGTTCAGCATTTGGTTCCCTTGGGTTCCTTGAAAAGATATCATCCCACAGCCCAGACCATAACATCGATTTAAAATTAGCAGTTAAATCAAATTTAAAACAAATTTGTCAAATTTTCAACATTGTCAACATAGCATATTATTTTCAAGGTCCCATTTTTGGGAGCTTTACTCGGGAATCGAGTCAAACATACTTCTAGCCTGCTTGGCGGGGGCTGATTTGTTGACAGGACTGGTTGTTCATCCCTTTGGAATCGCCTCTAACGTTTAGATGGTTTACGGTACTCAAATGGGATATTTAGATTGTTTTATCATAAACTCTTGCTCCAATAGACTCATTCGCGTCAGGTGATGAAAAGGTGATCATTTTGCATAACAAATCTTCAAAAGGAAAATCTAGAATGGCTAATTATAACCACCTGATTTCGTTGATATGATGATTTTAAGTAAAAAATTCAAGTTTTTTTTATTCTTCTATACCATTACCTTATCTCCTTTTATTTCGTGCTCAAACTTATTTACAAACTATGCCATATAGCGAATGGACACGAATCCCTCCATGTGTTGAATTGAACTTATTCCAAGTTGGACCGAGCTAAATTGAAAATAAGAAAGTAGGCCTGCTGATTTAGACGCCGAGCTTAATTTCCTACAGTGAAACTTTCATCTTATGTCAAGTTAGTGCTCAAAATTTACAAACTATGCCATATAGCTTGTAGATGCGGATCCCTTTATGTGTTGAACTGAAATTATTCCAAGTTGGACCGAGCTAAATTAAAAATAAGAGAGTAGGCCCACTGATTTAGACGCCGAGCTGAATTTCCTACAGCGAAACTTTTATGTTATATGTTGGGCTTAAAGGTAGTTCGGCGTTTAAACCAATCCTAATAGTCTTCTTTATTTTGTGTATTTATGGATGTTATTGTGCACTCTTCATCCAAAAGGAAACATGAAAGACAAAAGCTAATCAGGGAACAAAACAAATCTTACTGCAAACTTTGTTTCCACTGAGGAAATAGCAGAGAATACTTCTTACAGCTTGTATGCTCAAACCCTGAATTTTTGCTTCTCGGAAAAAGTTGCAGACAGCAAAGCACCAAAATGCAAAACTTTAGAGGGACAAAACCGTTTGGAACAATTTATTCACTGTCATAAAATTGATCAGCTTCTCAAAATTTTACTACATGACAGTGAAAAGGACCTTTGACGTTCAATCTTGTCTTCTAAATATTCCAAAATACGTTTTTCGAGGAAAAATTAAAAATTGCAAAGCGTCGAGGAGGAGAGAGAGGGAAAAGGAAGAGAAACACATATATGTTAGCTTAGGTTGAAAATAGTATAAACACAGTTAGCTACGTTGTCTCAACAGTTTTTCCATGATTTTACATCCCAAATTATGTGCTTTAAATTTTTATTTCATGTTCAACACTTTTATTTAAAAAATAGAGGTGGGCTCCAGAAACCGTTTTTACTTCATTCGTCGCCATTAAGAAATAATCATATAAATCTGATCATATTTTGATATTTTAAGGTATGACCTCACAAAAGGCATTCTTGACTCAGCCTATTAGTTTTTGCGATAATCGGATGAGCAGTTGTTTGACAAGATATTGTTCTCTCTTCATGCTAAGCGTTGTAATTTCCGCCGTTCACTGGCGTAAATGGCCAGGTTACCAAGTTGTTTTCAAATGGCGGCATCATTGGAACGAGTACTGAGGAGAACAAAGAATTGATGGACAACTCAAAGAATTTCAGAATGAAAAAGGGGTAAAAGAAAGGCAAGTTTTTTCAAGATAGACAAACCCTGCTACATACCATTCAACAGCCCTTATACTTCACAGTGCGATGATAATCTCGCCATGAAAAAATATTGCTTGTACGTGTGATCATTTGGAATAGAGTACTTGGAGGATGGAGGGGAAGGGAAGCAGGGGCAGGAGGGAGACCTGCCAGAAGGGGGGAGGGGAGAGGGGAGATTGTAAGAAAATTGCATTAAGAGGGATAATAAAGAGAGGGTAGGGCTCATTAGAACGTTTATGGTTCAGCGGCATGAAAGCTTTTAGATCTGTAAACGATGCTGGAAATAGTCCAAAGCGCACATAGATGCATGTTCAGTAACTTATCTATGAAGTAACAGGAAAAACGAAGACCACAGAACCAAAGGCGATAGAGGGTACTATTGTTTATTTAAAGCAAATGTTTCATTTGGTCATGTTACATCTCTATCGTCTTAATATTAGAGCCAATATACACAGCATAACCGCCTTGTGTAGTTAGATCTCCTTGTCGTCTTTCCCATCTTTCCAAAGTGCGACTGATACTAAGATATATAATGAAGAAGGGTTAAGTTAAAAGGCATTATATGATTTCTAAAAGGCTCTTCTGAAACATCTTTTTCCTCCATCGCCTAATTAATCGTTAAGAAGGACTTACATAAGGCACAATAACGTACGAACGCAAAAGGTATGAAAAACTTTCATAAAATCCTAGCATTCTTTTGCTTACATTTAACGTTGATAAAATTTAAACCTGGTTCGAGAAACTCCAATTAAGTCGTGTAAAAGTCAGAGATTAACATCGAACATACCGCAACAAAAACCAAAGAAGAAGTTGTCTTCGTAATCACTCTTAAAATGCCTCAAGTTGTCTGTGATTTCATGATGTATCATAATCAGTTACCCTATTTGGCGTGTTAAAAATTTCTAAGAAGCTTGCCATACCTGTGATTAAAAAAGCACCTCGTACACGTAGTTATCATAGTCCCTTCCGACTCCGTTCCAGCAATTAGTGGACGGACCGTGTACCTTGTAAGATTCTGTGTCAGACACCCAACACTCGCCGTAAAACTGGATGGCGAAGTATTTCTTGTTTTTCTTTTTGGCAGCTTCGTAACACTTCTCGACTACAAGTGAAATTAGAAGCAAAAATAAAAAAAATTAGAGCGATGCACGATCAATGATTTACTGACGAAACAGGAAAAAAGACGAGAGAGTAGATTGCCCCTGCCTTTTAACTCTGTCACTCCCATGATCTCACTAGTAATTCTCCTTAATGTCTACCATACAATTAATATGATGATAGTTCGGAGAATTTGGTATTGAATCAATTAACAAAATAGTTTTCCGTAGTGTCATCACCTGTCTGCTTGATATTGGGGAATTTATGGAAGTCAAAGGGTGAATTGTTATCTTATAACAACATGTGCGTTTGGCTCTAAGTTCTGTCTGTTCATATCTATGCGCTTTCATTTGAAATCTAATAAAGTGAAAATGAAAAAACGAAGTATTTGCAAGATTATGAAAAGTTTACTATTCCAATAAGGGAAGGGAGCGCTTAAGACTTTTACGTCTGCAGTTTCACTCTCTAAGACTACATCAGGACGATAAGAATCATTGTGCGCATGTCTATGACAGTATGCTTCTCTCAAAAGCTGCCAAGATAAACACGAAAATCTTCGCTCTAGTCGTTCTCTCATTACACCATCACAAACACCTTCCCGTACTGACCTGTCATTTTGGGCAAACCACTTTGAATATGACAAACCTGTTTTCTCCAGGTGGAACCAGTCGATTTGTCCCCGAAAATTCTCCAGCATTGTCATGGTGCGACCATCACCAGTGTCTCTCCAACAGCCAAGGTCCCGCCACGGTGCGAAACGATAAACAAAGTTGTGAATTTCATCGCCAACACCTACATCGTCAAATGAAGATCTCTCTTTGAGACTGTTTATTATCTATCACCGAGGGGGGGTTGGTCAGGGGAGTTTGGTTGTGTTACGATAAAATTTACCTGATCCCCCATAAGACTCTGTAATACTCTTATGATAATATCCCCCCCCCAAAAAAAATTGGTAGTCAATTGACAGTACATTCTCTATTTCCCCCCTTTATACTCTGTTAACGACGACTGATCCGCTTATGTTCCCCCTAAAAGTCATGTGACCCACCCCTCCCTCAAAAAAAAGAGTCTTCTGACCCTCCCTACGCGATAAATAGAGTGGTTCCTTCAGAGGTAGTCGTCGCCTAACTCGTTGATAAGTCTGGTCAAGCAACATTGGGGACAGATCAAGCTGTTTTGTCGCCGGAGAGGGTATGTGGTAGGTGAAAAACCTGAATGACGACTGTTAAGAAGGCTAAAGGAAGCTCTTTCAAGTGACTGAGCATCCTTGGATTCAACAATACCCATCAGCTCAAACGACATATCGTGACGGAATTGATCAGAGCCTGTGACGCTGATGGAAATGAAAAGATGGCTTTTAGAGAATTAAAGACCTTATCATTCAATTGTGCGAGCACGAGTACATATAAATCATATCTTAATAGGTGCTACGCTGTGTAAGAAGCAAAGTTAGGTTTTGCTCCTTTGACTTATTAATTTTTAGCTGTCTAATCTGTAGCACAGAAAAGTGCTCGGCAAAGAAGCCTTATGAGATTTCCACGTGACCAAAATGAGCAACGTAGGATTTTTGGATCCTTCTTGAAACTCCAAATATGGCAGCGACCTTGAATAACCTAAACAAGGGTAACAACAACAGAGCTTTTTCCAATCGAGTGTCGTAAAACCAAAACCGAAGTAATCACAACGGCCAATCAGGAGAAAGGAGAATACCTTTAAGAGCCAATGAGAACTCAAAGTAAAAACAAACAAATTACCTAAAGCGCGGGAAAACGCGAGCAACCAACTCGTGATTGGTTTAAGTGTTGCATTTTTTAGGTTTAGAGGGTGGTGCGAGTTTTCTGGACCAATCACAGAGCGAATTGAAGGCAAACAAACAATCCCGGATTACCTTCGACGCTCAAATGAAATTCTTTTAAGGCTTACACGTGGAGACTCCTTCTCCTCTTGATCGTCTCTCGAACTTCATACTCACCGTCAGTACAACCTTTACCGGCACCGTGTTTATCATACGTTGGCCGAGGGCGGTCGTCCCCCCAGCACTCTCCATAAAACTGCACCCCGAAATACCGATAACCAAGCTCGAACGCACGCTCTGCACACCTCGTCACCAGCGATCGTAAGTTGTGCCAATCGATATTTCCTCGGAGGGAGGCATACATGTTGTTTAAGGCCCTGTCTTCTTGGGCGTCACGGTAACACCCGACCTCAAGGATTTGTGGAAGGCCTGAGTTTATAGGAACAGAAAAGTTATATGAGGCAGCTTTATTGTGTTCATAGAATAGTGTTATTTAGTGCTGACTATAACACGGCGTAATGGTCTGTTAATATTGGCCTCATGATTAGTTCCTCTTTTCATATGTGAGCATACAGGAGGTTATATGTGTAGTATTGTATAAACTGAATCAGAACTAAGTGCAATAAGTCACAAAATGACCTGCACATGATATATAGGTAGAGAAATAATTCTCGCAGCTGAGATACAATTGGAAATATTGGTTACAAGAAGCTCTAAAAAAAATTCAGCTTCGATCGTCAGGGTTGGAACCCACCTTCCCGGAGGGCACTAACACTAACTGAGCGACCATTCAACCTGGATACAGAAGACAGGAAGAGCTACCCCGTGGAATGCCTACTTCTAATTACTATTTCTTAAAATATCTATATTTCTCCTTATTTAGACACGTCTTAAGGAGCAATCTCTTTGCCTGTGTCCCCCAAAGGAACAAAAATATTCACTTAAGTTATGACGTAGGAGTTTCCTTCACCTTCTTGCAAGCAGCTGACACCGGCATCCCGCTCATGGCCACAACTGTTCTCGCCCCACCCCTGATGGGGGCAGTCTGTAAGAGACTTTTCCCTTCCTGTGCACATCATCTTACTCAGCCACACGGGTCCGGTCCCTTGGCCAAACTTTGCTCGCTTTGCCTGTAGGATGAATATTTGTGTTAAGCTATTGCAAACTACGCCTAACGAGCTCGGAATCAATTTATTGCAATTGAATTAAGTGTGGAAACGCACCTACGATAAGAGACTTTTGATTTTTCAAAAGAAACCAATCATTATTCATCGCCTTGGGGGATCACAGGATTTTTGTTCCGTCGCAGTAAAATTTACGTGATCCCTCCCCATTCTAATTATTCCCACTCACTGAACGTTAGTTTTCCTTAGTCCTCCCTTTAATCTCTGTTATCGATGACTGTTCCCCCACCGTTCTCCCCCTGAAAACCATATGATCCCCCATATTCTTCGATCTACCCCCTCCCCTGCCCCCTCGCAGGCGATGTATAGTGAATGGTAATGATCACTAAACAAAAACCTTGCCTGATAAATTGCTTTAAGGAAACCCATCTGCTCACACACCACTGTAGCGTCCTCAAACGACCATTCATCATCACAAATTGTGCCCCAGGTCCCTTGGTGCTGTACTTCCACTCGACCTTGGCCCACGTACGTTGCATCAGGCGGCTGTACAAGCCGAATGACATCTTCTGTGAATAAATTGAGAAAGACGAGTTTTTAAGTATACTTCGAATGTCTTTCCCGGAATCAATCCCTGTAACTAGAGTATGACATATTTATAACCATATTTAGCCTGGTCTGAAATTTTTCGTCAAAAACAGATCGACGGACATGCGGCCAGAAGAAGAAAGGGAAACTGCAAAATTTTTTTTCAACGCTTTCGACTATCGCTTGTGATAGGCTTTAAAAAAAAAGAAGGTAGAGGAGTTTATGTCCCAGTTTAGTCAAATAAACTCCACCCAATATGACGATCAAGAAAACTAACTGTACGCTGTTTAAACCGAATTTTTTTCAAAACGCAGCAGGCAGTACAATAGGCCGGTAGTACTATGAGTTTTTGCAGCGTGTTCTCTGAGATAATAAACAGTATGAGAGGCAAACCTCATGTGCCTACTTTTATTCTATAAATTTTTTTCTCCCCAGTGACCCGTCTTTCCCATTAGGTGTTACCCTTTTTTAACCAATTTCCAACTTTTTCAAAATTAAAGAATGTGCAGCAGATTTCAAGATTGGTTATGAACTCAGTTATGGTTAGTTAAGACGGTATTTACGCGAAATTCCGAATTTTCCTGTTTTACAATTCTAAGTACATTCTAATTACATGCCGCTGAAAAGGAGTTTTAACGAAATGAACACTTACCTGAAAGAGCAGCGGGAAAAACGAAGAAAATAAAAATAGCGCAATTCATTTTCAAAGACTATAGGACACAGAATAGAATTGAAGGCGGAAAACAAATTAGGCTAAATTTTTGATGGGTAAATAAAATTCTGTATTTAACTTTTCACACGTCAGTTTGTACAGACATCTGCCTGTGTGAAAACACTATTTAGAATTGAGTGGCACAGAAATGTTGTGTTTGTTTTTCATTAAAAACCGGCTCGTTTATATCATTACTGAATGAAGTTGAATTTTTACTGTGAAAGAAGGAAGAAAGCGTTGCAGTTTATTTGAAATAGTCTTGTTTCCATCCTCATGGGTTTAATTATATATAGCTTAGACTGAGAGTTGCTTAGAAATACGACTGGAATCGATCTTTAAAACTTGAGCCTCTAGATGTCAAATATGTACAGTCGATACATGAAAAGTCTGAATTTGAAGCTCTTAAAACAAACTTGAAGTCTTACAGTACCCTTTTCCGATTTCCGTTTCTAATTTATATAGTTTACAAAGCTCCAATGATTTTCTAAGAAATGTCAAACAAGGAAGACCGAACAAAGACAAAAATTGAAAAAAGTACTTTTGAAAAAGTGATGAATCTGGAGGAATCACAGTGCTTTTATTGATCAATACTTTTGATCCGTTTGGTTTGGTCACCATTTTACTGAACTTGCTTTGTTAAAAGGATTTTTGGTAAAATATGAAATAAAAATCTCGGACTTAAAAAAAATACTGTTGTCGATATTTCTCCCGAGCACAAACAAGCTTAAGGTTATTTTAGTGGTAGCATCCCCTGCATAATCTGCTTGTTAGGAGAAGTCATTAAAACGCTTGAATCCTCGACTTTTAGTTTCCTTCATCTATAGCAAAATGTTTATCCACAGACAACAACAATACCCCTCGATTATTAAAAAAGAACAATTCATGCTGTGGAGAAAATCAAAGCTTTTTTGTTAAGGGCTTTAAAAACTAACATTTAGAGTCAATAAGGAAATTGTTTATTTGCTTGAATATATCTCACCTTCTTCTTACAATTCGTTAAATAGCTTGTTAGGTTTTTTTCTCCTAAGCTGGCTTTCATTTTGCACTTTCCTTCATTTTTTATGAGATAAAACGTTCCAGAAACGGTTAATAACGATATTATGAAGAATGAGGAATAAAAAAATCAAATAAAACCAGAATTTATAAGCGATCTGAAAATTTAAACGCGGAAGACGTGAGTGCTCTTTGCTTTTGGCCTTGAAAGAAGTAAACACAAATACAATTTAACTTTTACGCGAACTAAAAATTGCCTTCTATTATCTCCGGAATCAGAGAGAATTGTTTACTTAATTTGATCTATGTTTGACATGGTGAATTTCTGTCATGCAATTGCTAACATAAGAAAATATGAAAAACTTAATACAATGAGCAAATTCTGATCAATCAATCATCGTCAAAGACACTACGCGCATTTGTTTGTTCAGTTTAGGAATAGCGGTCTCGGCGAAACATTACATTTTGTACTGTGTTTTGGAAAATTTCTTGGGTGCACATATACAAAACTATGAAACTCCTTTCAATCTCAATTTTTTTGATGCTGTTTCATGAAGGAATTTCAGGTAAGGACCAACAATCTTGTTCTATCTATCAAAAAACTTTTTTTATTCGTAGTTTGATAGTATAGGCTAAAAGGTTGTAAAAGAAGGTTCAGTTGCGAATTCCTCCTAAACCTTAAATCTTATATCTTTATCATCTACTCAGATTAAATTTTGTTCTTGACTCGTTCGTGTACGCTATTCGCACATGACTGCTGATCCATGCTAAAGAAACTGTGGTGCTGCGTCGGTGCGGGAGTATCACAAGATAATTCGGTTTCATCAACTAAGTTGACAATGTAAATTGGCCACTAAAAAGAGCTTCTAAGGTTTATCTTGCGAGCGTAAACCCTTTGTCTTTCACTCAGCCGACAGTGGGCAATTTACATTATCAACTCAGTTGATAAAACCAAATCATCTATTAGACGTATATTTCGGTTGGGTTAACTTCACATTCATGTTTTCACTTTTATCAAGACTGTTTCACCAAAGCACAAAGATTAACGTGGAATCAAAAACGAAAAAAAGATTATAATGCACGCCTATAATTAACACAATAAGTATTACTTCGATATATAGCGCGAAAACGCTCTTTATCACCAGTGAATTTTTTATGTGTTTCTGATGGGTATATTTGAATTTACTCCAGGTGCAATCCATAGTAAATAAAAATTGATGGGGCTCATTGCATAATCCCGTTCAAATCGAAGTCGCAAAATTGAAAGAATCAGTGATAAATATCATCACAATTTGTGTCAGTAGTTACTGACCCTGTTGATGCGAGCCTCGAAACAAACTCGAACATTAAAATAAAAATTATGACATAAAATTCATCTTATAAACAATCAGTGATGTGTGGGATTTTGTGTTAAAGTATTACTGAATAGTGTTGCAAGGGCTTAGTTTAACTGACCACTGACACTGATTTTACATTTGGTGTTCCAGACTTGTTTTCCCTGCTCCTGTGAATTTTGTAGTGCCATTCGTACAGAGAGCCCGCGTCTATAAATTTTCAACTAACATCTTTTCAACCTTTTGAATAAAAAAATTATCTTCAGAATTTTTTAATATCTCTTTTGTATTTTAAACATTTCTTGTTGCTTTATGCAATAGGTCAGTCCAAAGTGCCTTTTCTTATTGGGATTTTATATATCGATGAGATCGCGAAATGCAAGGGTTAAAACTGACAGGCTTAACAATTGTATGTATCTAACATTATTGCGCTATTCTTTCAGACTACATAGCCGGTCAAGAGGTTTTCTTCAACTCGTTGAAACAGCTAGAGATCGACCGCCAGGAGGCACTGCTTAAGCTACCTTACGGTGAGGCAAAGTAACAGATTTTATATGATCAAAGATATGATGTTTAACTCAGGGTGTGGCTCCTTCAATTGTAGTATTATCTTTCAGCAACTTTCGCCAAATCAAAACTTTAAGGACCTAGACTTAAGTTCATCTCTTTCCCCAAGCTAAAAATGACAAGAAAAGGCGGCACTTACTTTCTGGCGTTTCACACGCCACCGTTTGCGCACCCTTCAGGAAGAACTTGGTAACCTCGACGCGCGGTCAATAACCCTATACCACGATGCAATTTTGACCCTTACGTCATACGCTTGAGCTGAATCTATCCGCAGCCTTCCTTTCCTTATCTCCCTTCCCATCCATAGTTTGGATGTTTTACAGCACGCAATACTAAAAATCAGATTAGGAAATGGTTAAATAAATAAGGTTTTAGCGGTGGTACCTCTTAGAGCTGACTCATCTATCACTGTCCAAGGACGACTTAAAATTTGGAGTGTTGGTCTTTTGTGGAGGAATAAATACCAAAGAACCTGAAGAAAAAACTCAGTGGAAGGGCGGGGACCAAAGACAAACGCAACCCACCCATAACACCTTAGTGTAATATCATTGAGATAATATTGTGACATCATCATTCATTTCCAATTAGTGTTGATATTCAGTCCAGATAACTCAGCCTCTTATTTCAATATAATTACGACATTAGTTCATCTTTACTTATTCTACTCCACTTTACAGCATTTTACCACACTCCACTGCATTTCATCATGATTTCATTTCATCTCAGTACATTCTTTGTCGTTTCGTTTCTTTGCCACGCATCGCTCTACAGTCTGGCTTTAGCGGCCACGTGCTGCCACAGTCAGCTCCATGATGCTCAGTGAAACAGTAAATTCACGGTCTTTCAAAGAGGTGGCGGTCCGTTTGCTTTTGACTCATGAGAAAACAAACCACCTCGAAATAAAAATTAATTCAGTGCGTAGCATTATTGATCTTTTGCGAAAATAGAGGCTTTGTGTGCACATGGGAAAATAGTTATTTAAGATATTCGAATACTTATGGACCGGTCTTTATCTGTCGTCGGGGGAGTCACAGTTAATGTCTTCTGACCCCCTGTCAAATGTTTTATAGTCCCCTTTCATACTCTGTTAGCGAAGACTGATTCACCCTCCGGTCTCCCTCAAAGCACTGTGACCCTCCCCGATAAACAATAATAATTATTCCTCCTAATAATCCATCCGATCTGTTGATAACTAAAAACAACAATGACAGATATTTTTGCCAAAACAGAAGCCATATGTCACTGCAGGCTCATGTCGGATTGCCATTTGATCTCTATCTTTTCATTTTTTATCCTTCCAGTATTTCCCTTTCGTTTCCTGAATCTGTGTAACTGTTTGTATTCCGTGAGCAATAATGACATAGAGGATTTTCTTCAGATGTGGTCACAAAATTTTGAATTTCTTGATCCTAAGTGTAAGTAAATGAAATATTCAGAGTATTCCACCACGTTAAACGGTGTTTACTAAACAATGGCAACAGATGATACAAAAATGACCAAAAACAACTGTGAAACGCCTTTGGAAACATACAGGTTTTTGCACTTCGCGTTCAACATCTTTCCTTCAAGACCTAAACGACTTTAAATAAGAAAAAAACAAGCTTAATTCTTTTTGAAATTTCCATCCATCAGAATAAAGGAGAGACTACTAACATCGTAGTTACAAGACTGTTGTTTTCATTTAAAAATGAAAAGGCTTCCATGTCCAGTATACACTCAGCTTTTTTTACTCGTATGTCGTATGAACATAAATCAAAATTGACTGATAACCTAACGAAATTGTATTAACAATATATTATTTGACTAATTAGTGATTCTTAACTTCGAATTTCTCGTGAAACTTTCGGTATTGTATTTTTCTCAAACATCAGATATTGTATAATGAAATGAAAATAAAACATCTTACAACACGAATAGGTAGTGGTCTGCTGTTAGAGTTTTTTAAAAGCGCCCCTCGCTTTAATTTGCAAAACGTTTTTCTATAATTTCAATGTGGGTGAATAACTCATTTTTACCGTTCTACTTCTTTTTCTTTCTTCTTTCACTCGATAATATTTTAAAAAGGGGCATGTTAATTGTTATTTTCCGCTTAAGTTAAAGGGGCTTTTGTTTCGTCTTAAGATGTCCACCAGTTCCATTTAAGTTCGCAAAGAGAGTTTTTTCTTGCAATATCACAGTTTAGTGTCCCAACACTGAAGATCTTCGTCAAATATACTAAACTCTTCGGTTTCCCTGGATTTAGAGTCTGTTGTCGTGGGACACTCCTCCTTGTTCTGAGCGCCGGGAGTTTCTGCTGACCTATCCGTTGGAATCTCTAGCTCTTCTATCATCTTCGCCTCTTGAACAATCTTTGGAATAACCCTTTCATACGTTTTCAGCTCAAAAACCTCGTTTTTCTTCACAGGGTTGGTGACAAATAGCATGAAAGCACGGCGGAATCGTTCCGTCCGAATGTAATAGATAACAACGTTAACTGCACTTGTTAGGACCAGGAAGAAAAACGCACTAAACACAAGCCAATGCTCAACCGCTTGAAAAGTTGTCAGCAGTAAAACACTTCGTGTTATATCGGGTAAAAAACAAACTGCGTAGCAAAGGATAATATACTGAACTGTTTTCAGCGCTTTCAGATCTTGAAAACGTTTTGTTTCGTACCCTTTCAAGCCCTTCTTAAAGTTAATGTTTTTCTTAATTTCTCTCGAACTCAGATATAAAACAGTACAAAAAAAAATCAGAAACATTGGTAGAATTATTCTTGGAAAAGGCAAAATCCCCCTGTCTTCGTATTGTGAAATGTACTTGGCAATTGGGGCGTCACCTATGTCTTCAAAATCTGTATGAAACAGAATGATTCCCCCGACTATTACTATACCTGTCATCCATTTTAAAGCTATTATCATAAAAAGCTTTTTTCTGCTTTTCCATGAAGTGTACTTCAGACCGTACGCAAGAACGAAATAACGATCAAGAAATATAGTAGAAACTGAGAGCGCATTTTGAAGTAGAAAACCTCTTCGTAAAAACAGACAAACTATCGCCAGAGTCCGACCCGTCAGAAAGGGAGAAGGATATACCTGGTAACAAATAAACATCGGAATGTTAATGACACCGTTGAAAAAATCGACCAGCGCCATCTCAACGACGAGAAAATTAGCGTAGGTGCGCAAGTTTTTGTACTTCCAAACAAGCATACAGATGACAGAGTTACCAGATACGAGGACGAGGAGAAGCGTGGCAAGGAGTGTAGTTTGGATGGTCGACTCGTATCTCTCCGGATCACTGTCCGCCATTCTGTATAGGGAAAATTATTTCCTCGACGACGGACGCTGTAATTCCCTGCCGGTTTATCTCTCTTGAAAGTCTCCTTCACCGTCAACTCGCCACTTTATGTTCATATATCAGTAGTTACATTATAATATTATCTACCATCGAAGCGTTAATAGGTGCTTAACTTTTGGAAAGTGTGACGCAATGAAGCACAACGAGAGTCACGTGACTTCCGTCGAAAGGAGCCGCCGGCTTTGGTTTGCCGATAGCGGCAGGCATGCCGATTTCAACAGTCTTTACACGTCGGGAAAATATCCTCCAGCTGGAGGGAAAAAAGTAATTAAAGCGAATTGTTTATTACATTGGTTTTTTCAACGAAGGAACTGCCCTTCATGCCAAAAGCGATCGTCTGTGAAATTGCTAATTAACACATTTTCGTGTTTTCTTTAGAAGAAACTACAGAATAAAATATTTTAAAAAACCTGAGTAAGGAGCATTTGAAGATCAGACACCATTCGTGTGAGTTATTTGCTTTTCTTGGCCCTTTTGCTCAGTTGTGGCAGACGGCAACAACAATAATAACATTATTCATAATTCTTATATCATCAATGTAAATCATACAAGTTATTCGCTTCCATGAGACATGTAGCCTGGCATCAGCGGACATGAGAAACATTTAGCTAAATATCAGCTGAGACTAAGCGCGAAAGTGGACATACAGCCTTCGCGGATTTGGAGCATAAGCTTTTCATTAGAGCAGACTCTCCAACGTGAGCTATTTGATAGTGATGCGGCGGCTATTTTGGGATGTAATTTATCAGTTTATCATCATCATCAACTTATCACTCATGTTCTTAATCAGGCATCTGCTACACTCATACCTCTATATTTCATTAAAAATTAACAAGAATTTCGAATGCCCTCTGAAAACTGCGATTACTCTTATCGATATTGATATTCAAAACAAAGTGAACTCTATCAGAAATTTTTACTTGTTCACAGATCCTCTGCTGGGGAAAGAAGCACAAAATGACGGGTTAGTCAGGTCAGCGGTTGTACGGTCCAAGAGGGCTATCACGAACGAGAAAAGTACGTATGATGAAATGTTCTCCTTTCTCCATCTCAACTCCTCTCCTACCTTACTTCTTCCCTAAGCAGGGTAACTCACACCACCTAAAACCCACCCCCTCCCTCGAGACGTTATGTGCCACACTACGACACATCAAGAGATAATAATAGCCCCATTATTCCCTCTTGAACACAAAAATTCATAGAAAAAAGAGCATGAATGGACTCAGTACTTAATCCGACGAAAAAGGTTAAAAAACCACCCTGGATAGTATCTCTATCATTTTATATCTCCTTTCTCTGCTGTGAGTTTTTAACCATATTGAGAACAAGCTCGTAATTAAACAGTCTAAATGCAAAAGTCCCTGGTTGAAGAATTTTTTTTTCTCCTTTAGTAATTTAATCGCTTAAATGACTGCAAGGATACTTTCATAATTTCACAGATAAACGATTTTGCGTTTACAGGCAATACCATCCGCTTAAACTTTCCCGACAACCTGCCCAAAGAAAATGGCACAGGACGAGTGGAAGTTTACCATGACAACCAATGGGGTACGGTGTGCGACAAAGCCTGGGACATCAAAGACGCCTTCGTTGTATGCAATGAACTGGGACTGGTCAAAGCGATCCAAGAGACAAAGAAAGCCAAATATGGTCAAGGTCAAGGTCCCGTATGGCTTAGCAATGTGCAGTGCTCAGGAGGAGAGAGTTCTCTGCTAAGCTGCCCTCACTCTGGGTGGGGAAATGTTGGTAGTTGTACCCATGGTAACGACGCAGGTGTAAAGTGTTTGCAAAAAGGTGAGAAGGAAATGTAGGTAAGCAACGCGTCCATAAAGTAAGCTGAGGGGGGTCTTTTCAAGTAACAACCACTCGCGTATGAAAATCTTGTATTAATTTAAGACTTATTTCCAATTTTCATGGCTGAATACCGATTGCAGTCAGCAGTTCATTTCCCCCGCTCAGTGAATAGCCAATTGGGAATTTTAAGGATCCTCAAAATGAGGCTAGGAGCGAAGTCTTAAATGTTTAAATAAGATTTATTTGCATGACAATGACAAAGCACTTGCATATCAAAGACTACCCACTTACCCTCGTTCTGACTCTGATTACCCGCTTAGGTTGTAAAAACTTCAGTTGCTACTACCGCAACAGTCCTTCTCGGGACTGGACGAACAGACTACGCAGTGTCTCCTTTGTTGATTACTAAACTAACGTAGTATTCTTAAAATCTTATTAACGATTCATTTGTACTCACTTTTCAGGTCTTCCGCGTTTGATTGAGGTTGGCTGTTATAAAGACAGTAAAACCAATCGAGCCCTCCGAACTCTGTACGCCTTTCTACGAAAGGAAATCGATTGGTATAACATAAGAAACATGGTTACCAAGTGTGCCGAAAAAGCCTGGCAACGAGGATTCCGGTATTAATTCTTCAATTCTGAGAAGAGATTAATATTAACTTCTCCTTACAATATCCATGAAAAACAGGTTACTGGAATAATCAATCAATTCATTATTGTTATTTTCCGAGCGGGAGGTGCGAATGAGCGGATCCGCCTTGCCACAAATGACGCGGAAAAAATTCCGGACCGTGGTTTATTTGTTTAAAAAGCTTCACCGCTTGTGAACGCGTGATTAGCCAATCAGCTTCGTGGATTTAAGATTACGGCCATCCTTTGGTTCATAGAGTGATATCATAAGTCAAAGGTTTCCATTTTGATGTCATACCATATCGCCTTAACTGATCAACGGGAGAAATATAAAGCATTTTAAAGGGAGAACGTTCGCTGAGTCACAACAACTTGGTCACTATTATAAAAGTTTAATAACAAGAGTTTATCTTCAACACGATATCCATTTGAATTCATCTTTGTCATTCATGTTTTAGTTTGAGTTAAACTTGCATCAATACTTTTTTTACGTCTGTTTGAGAGGAGTGCTCTTTGAAAACGAAAGCGAGAATCGTAACTCCTCAGAATGAACCTCCGAGAGAGTTACTAATCATCCTAAGTGAGAATCAAGCTTACCACGGGATTCTTTTTCCTCACCTCGTACTGAAATGGAAAGTTACGATGTCCATTGTGTTCTTGTAGTCGCGCCAGCTTTCGCTTAAACCAGGGCCCTCTCTTACCGTAGTTCATCATCCTCAGTTAACCTTTTAACTCCCACAAGTGATTAACATGTAACGTCTCCCAATGATACCAATACATTACCCAGCAAATAAGTAAAGAGAATACTCAAACTTATCAAGTAGAAGTTTTTATCTTGATCAAATAAAAAGTTATCGAAGCTGATAACAAGTTTACAAGGAAATATGTAGCAGTTAGAGGCGAGGAGGGCGGTAAAAGTTTAATTTGCCTGCTGCAGCTCGGTTTATTTCTTCAGATATTTTGGAATCCAATTTTACGGAGAATGCTGGAGTGATGAAGAAGCTGAGACACGATACGACATGCATGGGGAGGTTGGACAACTACAGAGCACACAGAACTGTATCGAAGGTATGCATCCGAAAACATTTTTACGTCAAGGCTCTTTCCACTAAGCTTAGAGGGGTTGTTTGCCTGAGAACTCCTGCCCCAGTAGCAACATTTAGTCTGGAATGGTTTTACATAAAAAATATCTTCATGGCCGAATACAGAGTGAACGATTTATTCATGTGGTTAGTGCCATGTTTGACCATTTATGCCCTAACATCAGAATGAAAATTCTCCGTACTGTTCTCTATACGTTTCCTTAGGTGCTGATAGGGAGAATTTGTTTAACAATCAAGAGCTTCTCTAGTTGGAGATCATTTACTTTATTCTCCTAACCTTGATCTATGATTCAGCGTTGAAATTGAAGAGGGAAAGTATATTAACAGCTAGTAACTCTTAGATGTCAAGGTGTTAAGGCCGTGTCTTAAAGCAAAGTTTACAATGGTTCAACACAAGTTCTCCTTCCCACTCATTCAAAGAGTTTTCATTACAAGAAACAAGCCAGTGAGGCGTGTAGGGTCAAACTAAGGCCTTTTGCGCTTTAACTACCAAAATTTAATTCAAGCTAACAGGTTTTTCGACCTCTAAAAATGACTTGAGCTTGAGACTGTGGATTAAGAGCCATTCTGTTAATATATCACCAAATGCGTTCCTTTCCTTCCTACATAATAGCAGCTCGAAGTAAATTTGGTCATCGCCAGGGAGGATAGGGGATGGGGGGTTTTGATTGTGTCGCAATAAAATGTAACCGGTCCTTTAATGAGGCTCTGTAGTATTCTAATGATCTCTCTTCATCGGCAGTCAATTTTTTTTCTATAGTCCCTTTTTAAACTCTGTTTCAGACAACTAACTCTCACCTCCGATCCCCCTGAAAACCAGTGTGATTCTCTGGCCTTAAAAATCCTCCGACCCCCACCCTCCAAGGGATGAATAATGATTGGTTCCTAATAGGAGCCAGGAAGAAGTAAACGGATAGCCATATCGCGGATTAACCACCTCTGAATAATTTTTTTTTTCATTTTCATTTTATCTCGTTAAGGTGTTGGGATGCACTGGGCAAATTTTGTGTACAAGTTTGCACCTTGGTCGGACCTGGGATGTTGGAAGGATAATACACGTGACCGAGCGATGGAAAAGTTACTTGTGAACCTGCGATCCCAGATTGACTGGTTTAACATCGGTAAAACTGGTAAGTATAATATGATTGTGTAGTTCACGTGGAGTAGTTGACAGATTTAAATGTTGATAGATAGTGTCGCACAGTTAAAACCCTAGCAGATACATTTGGGAGTCAACGAATCAGTGTTGTGTGACTGGGTTAGTACAAACTTGCCAAAAATCCCCGCCAAGCACAGGACAACGCAAGAAATACAAGCAATTTAAATGAAAAAATTGCGTTTATTCATGGTGTTACCTTTATATATTTTGTTAAGAAACCTTAAGGTAAAGTCTACCTTGCTCTCGCCGGCTCAAGCAGCCGAAGCTTATTTCATTTTCCTTTGGCATGAGGCTACTAGGTCTGGTGCTACTCTCACCAATGGGTTGCTAGTTCCGGCAACGGAGGTTACCCCCCAACATTTTTTGAGGTTCTCCGGAGCTTACTAACACACCTCCTTGGATGGGGAGAGGAACATTGAGGGTTAAGAGTCCATCTTAAGAACACAATATAATAAGAAGACCTTCTGCAAAGACACAAGTCTTTGTACATTCAAACTAACTTTGCTAGCGGTTAGTTTGGTCTCAATAAACTTTCGACCTACTTGAGATTAGCTTCCCTCTGATCAAAAAAAAATTAGTGATAGCCTCTAGGGCATTGGAGAGCGTATAAGTGGCTAAAGAAGAACGTATCAAAAGAGCTAATGACGAAACTACCTCACACGAAGAAATAAGGAATAACGAAATTTCTTCTTCTTCTTTATCAAAGTCGACCTCTGCTACCAGGCCGCAAAGAAAGATGGGAAGAAGTATTTTGCCGTGCAGTTTTACGGCGAATGCTGGGTGGATAAAGATGATACAACTTACACGAAGCATGGATCGAGCACATCCTGTTGGAGTGGAGTGGGAAAACAAAGAACAAACTATGTGTACAGTGTTCTGTGGTAAGAAGGTGAGTGAGACAATGAGATCACCGAAAAGAAACGGAGATGAACGGGAGAGACAATGAGCGAGGCAGATACTTAGAACTTTGAACGTTTAATCTAAGTCATGTTCTTCATCCAAGAAAATTTATAAACTGGACTGTTTCAGGAAAATTTAGATATCCTTCTTTGTATTTTAGAAGAAGGAAACAACGCTTCAGGTGTTCAATATGGGATATCCTTACCACTGTCGTTTCCAGTTTTCAACCCCTTATGCCCCTTCCCACGATGACGCATGTGAGGGCGGGTACAAAGGCGATGATTTTGAATCTCCTTTTAGGAAGAAGGAACGATTTACGATAATACCATAACCTAGAATACATCAAAAAAACCACTTAAACGCTGTCAGAGGATCTCTTTTTTATACTGTTCATCCTGAGTGCTGCTTATATTTACTCTTTGATCTTTCTATCATAAGGGGGTTTCAATGGGGTTATTGCCTTTACGGTTAACGGTTAGAATTTTAGCCATTTTAAGGCTAACGGTTAATATCTTTCCATTGTTGTTACCAGAGTTATTCTTAAGGTTGACTTTTATTTCAACTAGCGGGCAAGATTTGTCAATTTTTATGCCCAACGGCTAAATTTACCTCATTGAGACACTAATAATTTATGAAAAGGACGCCATAAAGTTAGCACTCTGATTATAATAACTTAAGTTCGTTAAGAAACCGGTTATCATTTATCGCCTACAAGGCGGAAGGAGGGGGGGTTCAGAGAATTTTAGTTGATTCACAGCAAATTTTCCTGATCTCCCCTTAAGGCTTTGTAACATTTTAATGATCCCTCCTCACGGGCAGTCAATGGTGTATTTTACCCCCCTTTAACTCTCCTTGCGAAGTCTGATCTTTCTTCGGTTCCCCACGAAAACCACGTGACCTCCCCCCTTCAAAAAAAAACTGGTCTCTAAAATGCTAAATTTTCTTTCATTGAAACACACTAACCAGTTATTTTCCCTTTTTTTTTTACAATCAGATCATTTTCACCGATTTCCTCACAAGGAGCGTGCCTTTGGCTAGATGAAGCTGTCGCAGACGTTTTCCACAATTTGAATAACAACTAGTTTTGATCAAACCACTGTATAAGAAATAAACACAAGCAAAGTTAACTGTCAGCTTCCTCTTTATTGTTACACCTCTCTTTTCCCCTTGAGCAGAGAGACACAAACAGGTCCAAATCCTTCACTTATAACCCATCATATATCATATTTCGTCAGACCCCGCCTCGTTCTCCCTGAAAACCATGTGATCCTCCATAAGTCCTTCGACTCCCCTACCCCCTACCCCCTAATAATGACTGGATTCTTACTCGACAAATGCCCACAGATTGTTGCCCAAGCCTGGTTATCAAGATTTTTTTTTTTGAATTGAGGAAATCTGACGTAAATTAAATTGACAAAATTTTATTAGTAACGGGAAGATTGTGGTCATTTTCTTTCTCCTTTATGTTAATCTCCGAAAAAAGGCAAATCTAATTCTTTCTTGTTAACTATTCCTTAAGATTACCTATATCACTACTATTTACAATAGCTAGTGATGAATGGTCTTTAATACTTGGCCAGTAAAGCGAACAGCTTCTACTACAACGCAGAAGTAATCAATTTTTTAGGTTTCTGCGTTGTAACGCTCGCGAATTTTCATTTTGACATGATTTGATTACACCGTTCCAAAGCATCAGAAACCATTTACATTGTCATTCGGGAAATCATTAAAGAAAGATATCGTGTCATGTAAAACGATATCAAGTTATCAAAAATGTCATCAGTTTCCATAAATGTTTCCATAACAACTCAGATCGGAGGCTTTGAATAATCTTGTTATCACCTGATGATATAATGAGGCCAGACTAGACCGAAATAAAAGTGCAATTTAGGAGGAATATCGAACAGTGTTTAATACAAATTGGGCTATTTCAGATAATTGCCTGAAACAGAGTTATGAAGCTGTTAACATAAATGTGTAAGACATGCTTCTCATAGACTACACCACATCCCTGTATCTACGGCTCTTAGAAAGCCCGCTTGTTTGTTTTCAATCCACAGTCGATCTATTGAGTTGGTCTTTCGCAAAAACCGTTTTCAACTTTTGTTTTCGTTCGACCAGTGATTTCGTCGTCAATGTTATTATTTCTTTCCATTGCACTTTCGTTTCGAAATGTAGAACTTGCACCGAACGTACTTCGGAAACTCGTGCTCCAGAATTGGACCACAGCTTCGCTTAGATTGCTTTGAATTTGCCCGCATTTGCAAGGGAGGACTCGCAAAATTTTGTGTCGAAAATCTCGATTGGAGCTTGCGTAAATGACAGGATTTAGAGCGGAGTTTCCATAATGAAGCAGTTTGATTGCGAAAGTCGCTACCAGCGGGGCATAAAACTTTAAAAACGTAACCAAGATATTCATGATGAAAAACGGCGCCCAACAGACTATAAACGCACCCATGACAATCGCCAGCGTTTTTGCCGCCTTGATCTCCCGCTTGAAATAGAACGCTTGCCGGAGAGGTTGGATTCGGCGCGCTTGGCGAAGGGCAGCAAGAAATATGCGTGAGTAGGAATATACCATTATGGAGAGAGGAAGAAGGAAAGACACCACAAACACCAGTACAGGGTAGTAAATCCCGCCGTGTATGTTGATAGCAGCAATGATTGCTGAATATGACCACAGGCCAATCAAGGCGATGATCGCGCGGGTTTTGGTGAGGATCTGTGAATACCTTAGAGGTGAAGTGATAGCTATGTACCTATCACAGCTTATGGCGCACAAGTTCATGATCGAAGCGGTGGAAAACAGGATGTCCAAGCACCTCCAAAACGAGATGAGAATCGGATCGCAGGCCTGCGTTGTTTTGATACAATCCGTGTTCTGAATAACAAGCCAGATCGGAATTGAAACGGAAGCCACAAGCATGTCTGTGATGGCTAATGACACAATGAATATGTTTGTAACACATCTGAGGTTGGTCGAGTGATAGAATGCAAAGCAAACGAGGGTATTTCCCAACAAGGCGAAAACCACCACAACAGCAAGAGCTATGGTCGAAGCTGTTACGATAGGAGAATTAGATGATACCGACGTCGAATTATTTGCTGTAACTTGAACGGTAGTGAAGAAAAGTAAAGCCAATTTTAGATTCCATCCTCGGTTGGTCCAATACATAATGTATGCTCTAGTCTTTTTTTTTTTTTTTTTTCTACTCCGAGAAGTTTCCCATTTGCAAAATTAGTTTGATACGTCAGTTTATCCTCGTCTTTCAGGAACTTAATTTCAAAATTGTTTTTCACAGCTTTTTCCTAAAGTTCATCTTTTAGACATTGTAGTCTCAAAGCTGTTAAAGCTGTCTTCGGAAAAATTTACCAGCTTTTTTTCCGAGAGGAAAAAAAATGCTTATTAATAAACAGTAAAGTCTTGGACTCTAATCTATTTCGCTGAATGCGCCAGAATTTGATCTGAAACCTAATCCCCGACTAAAACCACGTCCAAATGTTAAGAGCGGATGTGTTTCGACGCAATCAATTGAAATTAAAGTTTCAATCCTGCAGCTGATTTCGAAGAATTAAAAAACTCCAGTGACAGACACGTTGCGAGTTTTGGCTTAAAAGAACATCTTTTCCTTTCTGTAATGAAAGACGTCTTTGTGTTATGAATAATAGGTTTCATAAATTGTTTATTTTTAAATTTTTTTGTTTGTACTTTAGCCATACCAAGTAATACGTATTTCTTGTAATTAGACGTACATTGCGCGAGAATTTAAGAATGACGAATTTGAGTAAAAATAACAAGAAAGCTTTGCTGTCAGTTACATGTTGAATGAAAAGGCTTAAAATCCTTCCTTTCAAGTTTTAGCTTTTAACACCTCTCTCTTCTGAGGTGAAAGAAAAATATTCATTACAATAACGATCTTATAGCTTACCTAAATAAATTGATTTAACTCGACTTCGTTTCCTAATAATTTATCATTCCATATTTTGCAATCAAACGTATTCTGGCTGTTTTTTCACTTTTCACTCGTGTTTGCTTGCGAAATCCTGACAATTTAGTTGTTACAGAGACAAGTTGCGTACGAAAATTACTTGAATTAAAACTTGGCTGAGAAACTATTGACTTAAAAGTGATGCATTGAGTGATACAATTCTTATCGCATTTTCAGAGTGACAGTTATTCACGCTATAGTTAAAATTTCAAGATTCTGTGCTTTTAGTATTGCCCGAATAGGGAGGAAATTTGCAAAAATAACGCATTTAAACACCTTAAACAGAAATTCTGCGAGCCGCCATTAAGCCGAAGGGGAAACTGATGAGATTGACACTTTCTCGCCATAGTAAATGAGTTGTTTACCTTTAGAAGGAAGAGATTTCTCCGTCAGGATATTGAATAAAGGCGACAACGCAATTTGAACAAGATAATCTGATGAATTGCAGCCAGTATGCTAATGTAAGATGATGACTAATGATAGATTTGCTTTCCCCACATGGTAAATTCGTAATTTTTCGCTTGAACAGTGATAAAAACAGTTTGCACCTTAAAACTCTGCGATTTCAAAGCTCTGCGTTTCATTCCTACGAAATATAACTCAAAGAACCACATGCAAACACCCGGTCCGATAATCTTATCTCCAAAACATTTATTAAATGTCGCAGGTTTAAAAATCTAGTGTTGTGTCGTGGGTTAACCGAACCGGAATAATTAGATAAAGTTGATGTTACATTTTTCCTATGAATCAGCACAACCTTCTACAAAGCTTTTAAAAAAATATTTATGAGATCATCGGTTGAAGGTGTATGAAACAGAAAAAACAATAGCTCATTGTTTGGCTGTGTGCCTAAATGAAAAATTGCTTCCGTAGTTTGCTTTCCCCCAGTTTTCCTGGTAAATTCGGCGGGCCAGATTTCACAGTGCGACCCGCTAATTCCAAAACTTTGTTTGAATTGAAATTTTCCCCTTCTATTTTAACTCACAGACGCAATAAATATATTACTAACCTCGTTTTCTCGGTATATGCTGTAAGTTGCGGAGCCTCGTTTTTCCTGCTTGGATTAAAGGCTCGCGCTTCCCCCTTAGGTTATAAATCTGATTGGAAAAAAACCTCGATCTGTAATTTACAGTACGGACTTCAAACTCGGTTAGTAACAAGTATTTTAGCAACCGAAACCGCAGGCTATTCTGTTATCTATAGCCGGCTGCTTTCACCTCATTTACTATTTGTGTTGGTAAAAAATCGTGCAATTATTGAAATACCATCAAATGATTTGTTCAGCAGCCATGCAGCCATAGCACAATTGAGTAAAATCGACAGAAAATAATGTCCTTCACAAGTGTTTTCTCTTAGTAGGTCTTGGTGGAATGGAATGCGTAGTATTCTAAGAAAAAGTTTAAACGGTAGCGATATATGATTACATCAACTACACCATGTTTGCTGAGTGGCAAAAAATTTTTTTTTTTCATAATGACATAAATAAATGGGAAAAAAGTGAAGAAGGAAGACTTACTAACAAAGCAGCTGTATAATTTAAAAGACGTGTGAAAGTTAAGTGAATACTTTAAAATTAGTTTCTAAAGAACAGTTCAGCTAGATGAATTTCAGTCGAGGAATAACTGCTGTTTACCTTTGTCGACGTCAGAAAATTGTGGGAATAGGAGACTGCTTTGTCCTCACTGTCGAGTGCACATGCGCATTTCTTTTAACGTCGCTTCTAGCATAAAAGTTCCTATTTAAGCGATTAACGCTATTTCATCGACGTAAAAGTTACTCAGCACCACCACGGATTTGATCACAATAATCCATATCGCAAAGACCCAATCAAACTTGATTAACAGGACTGCTACCCATTCTTGCCATAGAAATAAATTGATTCTCCCAGGCCTTTTGGCCAAGCTCCGGATGATTTTTTTTTCCGGAATGCGCTGAATAAAATTGAATACTGAAGTACATATCGGGCAGAATGCGTGGACATAACATTCCATTAATGATCAGATGGAGACGTGGATCGAAGAAGCTTTTCACCAAACGTTTTCATTTCCTGATCCTTTAATATTGCATTGTAAAACTTGATCATTCAATTAAAATACTTTAAAATCTTAAACAATAATCATCCTTAAGAAGCTTGTTCTCAAGAGACTTCATATCAAATGATTTCTAAAGACCAAGCATTGTTCAGTTGCAAGGTATTTTGCATATTCTTACAGAAAGGATTCCACGCATACAATAAAACGCTTCTCATCGCTGACTTTGGCAACGATTGTTTATTGAGGCTGTTACGAGAACGTCAAGATGGCAAGGTCTTTGGAAAAGGCATGACATTTTTGAAAATCTTAATATTTTCGTGCGTTTGTATCGTTAGAGCTAATTAGAGTTCCACTGGTGCCAACATCACCAGACATAAGCGTATCAGACTTTACCGACAGTGAAACAAACCGTGAGAATTAACTATGGACACCACACATAGCGATACCTTCAATAATAATAATGTTCTTGTGGAGAGAGAAAGCGAGGGAAGATTGAATCTTAAGAAACGTCATGAAAATGACGCTGACGAGGTGAGAGAAAGCTATAGTTTGTATTCGCGCATAAACACTTTTCCAGTCACAAAATATTTCTTTGTTGTCGTCTTTGCATGAAATCTTCAAGTATCTGATTCTTGCAAAAACTTCTACCAGTGAACCTAAGAGACAATATTTTGGGTTTTTTGAGTTTTCAAGAAAGTTTTTCATCGCTCATTTGAAGGCCTAACATCGCTCAAGGGAGCTACGTTGTAATGTTTCCCTTTGTTAGCAGTGATCTGTGGCTTAATTCAAACAACGGCCGCTCCAAAGCACGCGTTAACGTTTGTATACAGAATCAGTGCTTTGCAATTATTAGGCTGGATACCTAATTCAGAACGGCTGAGTCGGTTAAGCAACCTCCTCAAAATGACTTTGTCGAAAAAAGCCTTCAAACCAAATTGAAATCTTTCTCCAAAATCGCTGCCGAAAGTAAAACCTTTGAGTTTTAAACTTCCTAGAAACTGTACGTAGACTCAAATAAGCATAATTTATTTGGTAATGTCTCTAAGTCTAGGTTTACACTAGAAGAGGTTCTACAGAATTCATAACTGTTGCCGAATTCGTAAAGTTTAGGGTTATTGGATTCGTAGAACGTTAACACCGAAAGGGTGTCCAGATTCCCAGCCGAGTTTACCCGAGAAAATTCTTGATTGAATAGTTACGCAGCTGTTCGCTGGAATTTGAAAATATTCAGAACTTACTATTTGAACAATATGCTTTCTTCCATACAGATTAACGTTTCCCATGACAAACTTAAACTTTTGGATTCTTCATAAAGTCGTCCTGTAATTCCATTAAAACAATCGTCTTTCCATCATAAATATATTGTCAACGGATAACTCTGTTTGAGGATGAATACCGCCTGAATGCCAAATCAAATATGTCATAGAAAATTATTTTTCCTTTCTTTAGGTTGAAAATCTTGAATTGCGGATCAAAGAGCTCACAGAACAAAATATGAGACTAAGAGATAAAGTGGTAGAGGCACGAGAAACAGGCAAAAGATACCAAGAGGAATTACTTAAAAGCCAAAAGAGATGTACGGAAACTGAGAGCTGGTATAACGGAAATCAGGACAGCATCATATACAAACTTCAGGAGGAAAAGGAGGAGTTGGATAAAGAGGTACAACAGCTAAAGAAAGACCTCCTTAGTCTAAACATACCTAATGGTAACCAGGACGCTGAAACTTCAGAGTTAGGGATGGAACTCTCACGAAACAAACAAGAACTTGAAGTATGTAAGGAGTCTATGATGATGCTGCATGAAGAGAACGAATCGTTAAAACACGATTTACATATGGTTTCGAATAAAATGGCCACAATACGGGTGAAACCCGAATTTGAAGAAATGCAAAGAAACGAGCACGAAAACTTCTCTCTATTGCATGACCTAGATGCTATCCGTGATCAGCTCCAAATGTACCGCGAAAACTGTACTGGATTAGAAAACGAGGTAAAGATATACAATGAAAAGCTGGATATTTGTAATGAGGAATTAACAGCAACCAGAAAAGAACTTGTGGAGTTGAAGAAAATCAATGATATTTTACACAGTGGCAAGGCGAAACTTGAGAAATCCTTATCCGACTCAAGAATGAAGCTGAGCAACTCCGA